GTCCCACAACCTTTATTACGTATCCCTTTTGGTGGTAAGACATCAACCGATTCAGGTTCGGAAACACATAATAGCTCCTGAATATCATTTCTCTTCTGTTCAGTACCTGTCAATATTGGAATGTCCACCGAAATTTCATCACCCAAACGTTCCAATCGCTCCACAAACTCTGTCAATGCTCCCTTATCATTCCGTACACGCCCAATAATAAGATCAAACATTGACGTAGCCTGGTTGATCAAAGCTTTTTTCTCAACATCCATTTCACCATACCTAACATGAGCCGGCAACAGCTCTACTAGAACTAACTCTCGTCTCCATCGCGGTAAGATGTACTTCTCGGGTATACATTGCACCTCAGAATTTAACATTACCTTAAACGCGTGGCGACATAATATACCATTGCGAACAAAATGGTTGCAACTACAATCAAAAGAATCATCCCCTACATCATGAACCACCTAGCATATCATACATAAAGGAAGAGAAATTATAATCATTTAATATGAAATGCGATTCTAATTAATTATTTGTCAAAATTAAAGCAAAAAATTGATCATCACCTTGTACGTAGCTTTGATCTCATAATTCTTGTTCTTATGTGTAATACTGTAAATCTTCTTATCCCCTACCTCTACTACATCGACGACCCCACAAAACCATAATGCCTTGTTCATTTCCTTTTGCACCTCAAAAAACATTGTTTTTGTGTACACGTTCGCTGCTTACGCTTCAATTTTGGACGGTGACAACAATTAAGGTATTGTAGTTCTAGTTGCAACCTCAAGTGAACAATGTTCTTTCCTTTGACTTTCGATTGCATCGTCGAAAATGTTAAGAAAGTAAACAAGATCATTCCAATACTTCATATAAACATTAAAAAATGAATTAATACTCTCAAACCTGGAAGTGGTTTTCATAAGACCAGACATTGGGTAGTCCTTGAAGTAGGCTGGAATCCAAGATTCTCTTATTGCATACATTTCTTCGAACCACGAGTGACCCCGCAGTCCAAACTCATCCATCAATGCATTCCATTTCTCCTCAAAATATTCGGGACTTAGGTGTACATTCCATACGAGTTTGTTGAACTTTTTTTTAAACGGGGTCCCATGGGCTAAATGATCATGGATCTTCACAATGAAACAAGCACACAATCAAGCAATTGTCAAACCATTTTTTTCATATTGYCCATTATGAAGATTTTTTTGTTACGAAACGCTTACTAATCAAACTTATGTATGCATATATTAGAATTGTACCCAATGGATGAAATTAGACATACCTTTCCCTTCACTTTCTTGGTTATGTGCCACATACACAATCGATGAGTAGATTCTGAAAAAACTATAGGTATCGCTTGTT